GGTTCTTCGATTGAGGAAGTCCCTGATTATGGCATATTTGGTACGGTTTGTTGGAGTTTTTTTTTTTTTTTTAGTGTTTATGAGCATAAATTTAAATTTTTATATAAAAAAATTTTTAAATTACTTTTTAAGTGTTTATTTATTGTAGGTTCATTAATTATTACATCAGCAGCTCCTGTTAGCATTTAACGTCCCATTCTCACGGAAGGCCCGTAGGCGAACAATTTAAGAAAGGTTGAGGATGGGAGGGAAGGCTAGCTTTAAATAAAGGTTGAGGATGAAGGTGTCCCATACCATAAAGGTTAGGGATGGAAAAGAACATTTACCTAATAGTTAATTTTAATTTAATTGCCAATTTTAGCCTACAATATTAGGGTGGTGTGAATTTTTTGAATTTTTTTTATCAACATTTTTATGTATTTCTTTGGTCTTTTAATTCTAAGAACCATATAATTTTTGTCCCTCGATGAAGTTTGTTAACTCAATTCTCATGATATTTTTTATTTGTTTTAATCATATGGATAATACAACTAATAAAAGAACTCATGCTATCTACTTAGTGACAGGTTTAAAATGAGACTCACTCAATGCCATTCAATATTTATATTTATTTATCTTGATTAAAATATGAAAGTTGGTCTCACTCTCACGTACCCTATTAGATTAAAATTAATAAAAATTCTCGGACCCCACCTTTAATTTAATCTTTGCCCTCAAGTGAAATAATAGTCTTGCCCCCTTCATTTATTCATGCCCGGGATCCAACAAGCAACTTAATTCAAAACCATAATCAATTGTCTTTTAAAATCTACATTTTTTTTTTTTGATCAGCAAAGAAATTATTAACCTGAAGAATACAAGAGTTGCTCCAACCCATATACATGAAACTAATAACTCATACAAGAAAATCAAACAAAATCAACAGCCAAGTATCCATTCACACCACCCCATGAGTCTGCTTGTAGAACATCTTTAGAACATCTTCAACAGCCTCTTATGTCTTTTGGCTTCTATAGCAACCTGCAATGGGTTATTCTGCCATTCGGACAAAGAAATTTATTATTAACCTGAAGAGTACAAGGGGTGCTCCAACCCATATACATGAAACTAATAACTCATACAAGAAAATCAAACAAAATCAGCAGCCAAGTATCCATTCACACCACCCCATGAGTTTGCTTGTAGAACATCTTCAACAGCCTCTTATGTCTTTTGGCTTCTATAGCAACCTGCAATGGGTTATTCTGCCATTCGGAAAAAGAAAAGACACA